GCGTCAAGCGAATTTTGCGATCCCGCTTTCCTACCTGCTATATATATAAGTGTCAGTGTGCACACTGCAGCCGCGTGAGGAATGGCGGCAGTCAGTGTTTGTTGCACATAGGATTTGGACGGAATTTACAGGAAACTGTCGGCAATAATAAGTGAAAAAGAGTATAGAAACATTAAGAATTTGGTAGTAAATAGATTTCGTATTTAGTTAGCATTATATTTTATTGAAACGCTTCAAGTGCCTGTGGTTGAATACTCTCACTCTGCGGTGTTCATAGCCATTATTTTGAAACTAATTTCCAACCAGTCTCGTGTTTTCCCTACCTATGCGATACTTACCATTATTGCTCAAGTAACAGGAACTGTCTAGAGTAACGCTAAGTCGCTAACATGTCGTAGAACCTTCGTACTTGGCTATATTCACCAAGACATGCACAATTCTAGTTTTGATTACCGCCGCCATTTCTTGTGAATCTCGGACTATCTCGCGATAGTGCAAGATTTCGGCCAATTTAAAAATTGCTGTGACAGCATAAATTCTTAGTGTTTTTCATGTCGGTGTAATCAGTAATATATCTGCTATGAGGTGAGACTATATTTCGGTGTATTTTGTTCGCATTGTGCGTTTTGGAGCAATGATTTTGAAATAATGGATTTAATCAGTATGGCTGAGATTTATATCGTGAGAATGTCTTCATAACCAACCTAAAAATCTGCAGTTTTAGTTGTCAAGTTTACACTTTTTGGTGGCTTCTCACTTCTACTATCATACTATGTTTCTACGAGATATATGAGCATGGAACAGTGATGCTGTCATAGTCAGTTTTTCTGTGTTATTTGATGTATTTCACGTCAAAATGTCCTACATATGTGCGTGAGTTCAATTTTGTTCATTTTTCTTGTCACAATTATGTCGGTAGGTCACAGTATTAGGTCTGATCGTACAGAACCGACATTGCGACATTATTACAGGTGGACCGTGAGCATCCACTGTGGAATGCGCATGAACACGCGTACGCTGCGCTCAGCAAGAGGGACAGAGTGCTCCTGACGACGATGCGGGAGCTCGAGACCAAGTGCGTGAACGAGACGAATGCTTTTGTAAAAGGCGTATCGCGGTCACGGCTGCAGGAAGCTGACGATCTGTTTAAGAAACACGTGGATGCTGAGATGAGTTTCTACAAGTGAAAGAAAAGAACGAATGCTGTGTATACTGTGTATGTAATACAGGGCATGATGATAAAGGGAATAGCTTTCCGAACTGTGATTAGCTCTTGGCAAACTTTCAGTGTAGTAGTATGGGCAGTCTGGTATACGTCATATTTGGCAGGACCATGAGATTTTATATAATATATATCAGGTGTAGATAATAGGGAAGGAGTGTGACTTCAATAAACAATCGGAAATTCGTCATTTACTAGCCTTTAATACCTACGATTTACTACGCGTAA